TCTCTCTCTCTCTCTCCCTCTGCTTCTTTTTTTGCGTTTTACATATAAAGCTCTCTATTCATTGTCTGCTGATTGTGCAGCATCAAAGACAAAGCTGCCGATAACCAGGTTTTCATATTCGTGGCCTCAGGAGTATATCACATTGCGGTAGCAGTTCCCTAGACTAAAAGACATAAATGCATCTATAGAGTAACAATTACTGTCTGTCATATAAGGGGACTTGAAAGACCGGGAGTCCATATTAATAAGAATAATTGCATTTATATAGAGCGTAGCCCGCACGTTCAGTGCACTTTACAGCTAGCTATATTTGTAACATGAGTTGCATGGTTGGTTGAAGAAGCTATAGTCCTTTATCCTGATCTTGTGAGCCGGGGAAACAAAGTGAAGATGCTAGTGGGTGGAGAGTTCGAACATCAGATTCGTTTTCAGTCTGGTGAAAGTAAGTGAATTGTGAACACGGAGCCTTTTCAGCTTCACTTTGTCTACTCAAAGTTCTATGGATGTCTGTGGTGTGGCTGTTTGGTACTTATCCGTTGCACATAGAAGACCTGAATTCGATTCCTGTGTCGAGAGAGCTTTTTTGTTGATTATCTAGGTCTTTCTGTTTGGACTTTGTCTCCCTCTCTATCCGGTTTGGATCTGACAGGCAGTGTCGAATCCCACCTAAAAATTTCTTTATATTGTTGATGGAAGTGTGAAACACCCTTCTTTTTTTTCGTTTGGCGTGATATATGATTATCTAATTTGATGATGTGAGATGCAAGGTCCCATAAAGAGATAAGCTGAGACGTTAACGTAATGACATTTCAGAAGTCAATGCTCTATTCGAGATTGGATGACAATGTTCGTTTTGCTGCTACTCTGTAGGAACTTTGTAGGAACTCATTTCCATTTTAGTTATGTGTAAGGCTTGGTCCCTAAAACCATTCTTTCCCATCAATTCTTCAAACGTAACCCATAGCTGTATTTCATCATAATTCGATTAGACAGAATCCATCCAAGCTGTAGATCGTCGTGAGTTTGTATGGGCGTAGGTACGTATGTGTGTATGTATGCGTGTATGTGTGTACGCGTGCATGCGTGCGTGAGTATGTGTGTGCACATATGTGATACCATGTGCCTATAAAATTTATTTGTAATTCCATAATATGTTTCATGTTAAGTGCATAGAGCATTGCATACGTGGATATACACTATATAAAGGCAATCCATTATTATTATTATTATTATTATTATTATTATTATTATTG